TTTTTGTTGTTATATACCTGGATGACTGAGAAAACAAACTTTGTGTTCTAGCTTTTATTCTTCTTGGTTTACATGTAACATTTGAGTTTCAGCTATTAGTTTAACAAGATTTAAAAGTCATTTAATACTCAGACCTCACACTGTGTTTTCATAGAAAATGCAAAGATTTCCATTTTGTATTAGAACAAATAAACAATAATTATTAAACTAACTCGAATCCAATCATCAGAGATGGGATATATATATAAAGTTAATCATGACGATGTACCCCTGAGCGTAGTCTCTGCAGGTAATCTTTCCCGATGTAGGAGACTTGCTCGCTGATGGAGCTCTCGGCTCTCCCCAGAGTCCGGCTCAACTCACTGCGTCTGCTCCGACACCTCTTCAGCAGCTCCGTCAGGACAGAACACCGCTCCAGCCTGGGTAAAATCGGCGCAGTGTAAAAAATAAACCACATCAGGCTCAGCTGTATAAATCACGTGGCTCGTCCTTACTGTATAGTTACGGCTCTTGTCGTCTCCTCCCAGAGCTCCTCTCCGGTCCGATTCTCGTCGAGGAGCCCCGACTGTGAGGAGGCATCACGTACGAACTGCAGCTCAGGGATGAGGACTGCAAGAGCACTTTCCAACTTTGTTAAGACCTGCGTCCTGCAAGAGAAGAGAGAAAGCTGTGGACGTCCTGAAACTGCCTACCGAGTCCCCGTGCCATAATGTGGTATATTCCATTTAAAGATGAGCTAATATTTATTTTAGTCATCTCATTTTATATGTTTGACTCACCTCTACCATAAAACACAACCATATGTACACAAGATGAATTTATTTAAAATAATTCAATCTAATTTTAAATGCAACATGGGTTTACTGCCATGCCCCCTTTCATGCTTCCTGAAACTAAGTTATAATTCTAAGTAATAAAAATAAAATAATTTTTTCAAAAACGTTTTAATAGTACTATTTATAATAGTTCTCATCCAATGACTTTTTATGATATCAAAAAAATTTTATGCTTAAATTATAAAAAATAAATTGAGTCCCTGAGTCAACTGTCCAATTCTTAAATACTTGTCAACCCTGCTAATGTAATTCAGTTTTATTCAAAATATAATTCTGTTTGGTTTTTTTCTCAAATGTAATTTCGGGTTTTTTCAAATGTAATTCTTTTCTTTTTTTTTTATGTAATTCAGTTTTTTTATGTAATTCAATTTTTTTCATATATAATTAATTTTTTTCAAATATAAAATTCATTTTTTCAAATAAAATTCAGTTTTTTCAACTGTAATTTGTTTTTTTTATGTAATTCAGTTTTGTTACGTAATTCAATTTTTTTCTTCAAATATAATTCAGTTTTTTTATGCAAGTCAGGTTTTTTTAATGTAATTCAATTCTTTTTTCAAATATAAAATTCAGTTTTTTCAAATATAAAATTCAGTTTTTTCAAATATAATAGTTTTTTTCAAATGTAATTTGGTTTTTTTAATGTAATTCAGTTTTTTATGTAATTCAGTTTTTTTATGTAATTAAATTTTTTTCATATATAATTAAGTTTTTTAAAATATAAAATTCATTATTTTCAAACTGTAATTTGTTTTTTTACGTAATTCAATTTTTTTTTCAAATATAATTCAGTTTTTTCAAATATAATTCATTTTTTTCTAAATGTAATTCCGTTTTTTTTTTTTTCAAATGTAATTCAGTTTTTTTTCAAATGTAATTCCGTTTTTTTCCAAATGTAATTCCGTTTTTTTCAAATGTAATTCCGTTTTTTTCCAAATGTAATTCTGTTTTTTCACCACTTCCACTTTGATCACTTCAGCCTTTGCTTAATGTACTGTAATTCCGTTGTTTTTTTTTTATGTTGTGTTTTTTTAATGTTGTGTTTTTGTTGCGTTTTTTTAAATGTTGTTCATTTACACCTCAGGGCCACTACCACTCTTGTACCTGTGCTGCAGAGCAGGCAGAGTGGGCTCCCGCAGCTCCAGCTGCTCAGCTCTTTCCTTCGTCTCCTTCAGAGCTGCCAACAAAGCTGCTCTCCTCTGAACCAAACTCTCGTTTTCATTCATCGTTCTCTCCATCTGGCTGCTCCTTCGTTGTGTATGATCTTGGTTTTTTACCATACCTCCCTCAGACCTCCATGTTTGAGTCTTATGCGCCTCCTCCACTTGCGTCTTCATTTTATTCTCTTCCTCCAGTTTTCTTCTTTTGGCCTCTAAACTCGACTCTTCCTCTGTAGCGCCTGGAGTGGAGCGCTCCCCTCCTCGCAGCGCTGAATCAATCCCAGTCTCTGGAAGATTCACAACCTGCATTCTCCTTCCCTGTCCTCCTCCCTTCTGTTTTCTCAAGGCTGTCACAAGCTTGAACACAGATTTCACCACATCCTGGCATGTTACAGTTGCACCATCCATGGTCAGAGTCATCCCCGCTGCCGTTAGATGACCGTCAACGACATGAGATTGTTCCATGGCAGGCGTCAACCTCTGCATTGCTGTCTGCCATGTATACGTTCCCTCCTCCCAGTCCGTTCCACCGTCCTGCCTGCTGGGCTCCTGGTTTGCAAGCAGGGTTGGGATTGTGTCCTTGATTTCTCTCAGAGCGTCCAGGAAGTGATCCAGATCGTGGACAACTGACCGAGTATCACCCAGCAGCTGTCTGAGCTGCTCCAGATGCTGAACGCTGCCGTGGAGCAGCTGGCAGACGGAGGACTGGGACGTAACGTTGGCGCTTTCCTCCTCTGAAAGCTTCCTTATTTCAATCGTCAGAGTTTCATCGATTTCCTGGGAAAAACAAGCTTTTGTATTGATTTGTACAGATTTTAATCTTTAAGTTATTGCTTGAAAGAGTTTGTGTGCTTTACCTTTAGGTCAGAAAACATCGTAGATTCAGCCAACGTCAAAGAAGAGACATCCAAAGGCTGACGGATGATGTGGTTTACTTTTTCTGTGAATACTGACGTCTGGTCATCTTGTGACTCCATCAGGTCAGCAGTGACCTCCAGAGATGTCATTCTACCTCAAACATCAGAGAAGAACCCCAGTTTCTTCATTATGTTGTATTGATCACAGATTTATTCCAGATAAACAGCCTCACACTCATAGTTGTTAAATTATCCATATAAGAGTTTCTGTATATGTAAGAAAATTTAAATATATATAAATAACGACAGGAGCGTTTAGCTCAGTATCTATAAAACAGAGTTATATCCACTTTTGTACTGGCCATCTTAAATTGGGCTGACTCCAAACGTTAACGAGTTGCACTCAAGTTTTAATTCCCAGATGACTGCAAAAGAAATAAGTTAAACATTTTAAATCTCTTGTTTTGATTTTGAAAAAGAATGTGAAAAGTAAAGTTTTTCATCCGAACCCTGGGAGTGAATCCTGTTCAGAGGGGTCGTCCTGCTCCTGCGGTGGGACGCCGGTCCATCCTGCTTCCTGTTTGCCCTCCAAAGAGTTGCTCCTGACAGCTGCCTGCGACGTGGGAGAGTTGCACAGTGACAGATCAGTAAAGCAAAGAGGAAAAGAAGGAGCGGCGAGCCAATCCGATTACCCAGGATTAGCAGCCTGCGCAGTTCAGACAAAACTGCTGAGTCTGTTTCTGACCAAGCAGGCTCCCTTAAAGACACTTTAAAGTCATAAACACATCATGTATGAAGCTACAGTCAATTAAATGTAAATTAGGATGAGCCACACTGCTCGACTTACTTTAGCTGCTTGGCTGCAACAGTAACAAAAAGCTAAATCTGTCATACGTTCCAAAGTTGCACAGACAAAAATAAAAACGGAGCGATTTGATTCTGCCCAGAATCAAACAGAACCAGGAAAGTGTCATTTTCTGTGAAGATGCTAAACGAAAGCTGAATGACTGCTAAAGGGTTCTGAAGAACCTGAAGCTGAATAACAGCTAAAAGAAGCAGAATAGTTAAGTCTTTTTTTTAAGCTAAAAGCTAGCTTACAGCTTAAGTAGCAAAACGCTAGCTCAAAGTTTAAAGTAGCAAAAATGTACCTAAATGCTGCAAAACACTAGCTAAATGCTAAATGGGGCGTTGTGATGAAGAGGTAGGGCAGCCAATTTGAGACCAGAAAGTCGCAAGTTACATAACTGCTCACTGCTCCACCTGGATGTATCTCAGGTGTGATGGGTTCAATGCAGAGAAATAATTTTGTCATTGTATGGAAACAGACGACGACGACAACACAGCAAAAAATTAAAATAAAATTTAAAAAAAAACACCAAGAAAAATGCTGGCTAACAGCCAAAAAGTAGTAAAATCTAAATAAAAAGGTATCAAACGGCCGGCTAAATGTATTAAAAGTCAAGCTAAAAGTAGCATTAGCCTAGCTAGAAGATGATATGTAGCAAAAGCTAAAATAAGCAAAAGGCTAGCTAAAAGCAGCATCAGAAAACCAAATTAGAGCAAGCAACAAGCATTGGTTGTCAAAAAATGGAAGATTTGTAAAGATTTTCTGAAGGGAAAAATGTAAATCAAAAGGTAAATATTTTTAAAAAGTATAAACTAAGTAAAACAGAAGTCAAAGCACCCATGTCCTGGAGGAGCTGAACATGTGGAAATAAGAAACAGCTCAAAATAAGCTGAAGTAGTTTGATTGCAAAAATCATACATAATAATAATTAAAATCTAATAAAGCGATTTATCTTTAGGATGACCCAAAGATGTCCGTCTTGTCAAATATGCTAGAGGTCACGGAGTACAATTACACAACTGAAGTCAAAATAAAAGGTATCGCCTACCTGTGTGAGAGTTTCCTGACTGCTCTCTGTGATGAACAGCAGGCGAGAGCTCAGCAGCCGTTCTTTAGCTTGAAGTGAAGTTTGCCTCCTCTCCCACCCGCAGCCTTCGTTCTGCATGAGGGGGTCCTCGTCCTCACCTGGGACGTCCTGGAGGACGTCACCACCGTACGCCGGTACAGCCCCATCCACAGTTTGTGTGTCACAGTTCGTGCTTCGTTTCGGTGCGAGACAGTTCGGCTGATTTTGGGCCGGTGGGTCGGTCGGACTCAGCGGGGCTTCAAGCTGCACCCCCCTGCTGAGATAAGAGGTGCTCATTAGAACGAGTCAGAAACAAAAGACGCTCATTTTGTATCACTTCAAAGTGTATGAATAATTTTACTATGAATATAAGCAGCTGTTTTTACTATATATTTTTTCAAAGATCTATCAAAGGTTCCAAATGAGAAAAACAGACAAGGTGCTTTTTTTAAGCCGACGTTCTTTAATAAAATAGCCCAAAAAACATAATCCACAACAAACTAGTTCACACAAACAACAAGTAGTTAAAGGGACTGGCACATGCGAGTCTATAGACCAGGGCTATTCAACTGGGGGCCCAAATCAGGCCCACGGGTGACTTCAGTTCGGCCCACCAGTGGGTTAATTTTTAAATAAAACCATAAAACAAACTTTCTTAATGACAATAACTGCTGGATGTTTGGCCCCTGAGCTCTTGGCTTTTAGTAACTGTGACCCCCTGAGCAATTTCTTCTTCTTAATGGTGTTTTATGGGAGTTGGCAAACAATGGAAAGTGTGCATTACTGCCACCTACTGGTGTGGAGTGTGGATCAAAATAGCTATCCGTCTGCAATCATGTTTATGTTCTCTTCTAATTTTGTGTTTCTAAAAAAAAAATGTATAATAATTTGAATACTTTTACTTCTCGTTTCCTTTTGTAAACTAAAAGCTGACAGGAAGTAAAACCAACTAAAACATACGAAGACTCTAAAATAAAAACAGGAAGTAACGTGGAGTAGAATGCAGCAAAGAGAAAGTAAATAAAAATGAATGAAACACAGATATTAATGATTCTGAAACCAAAATAGACCAAGAAAAACTAGAATATAAACAAAGAATGTAGGATCAGAGGGCAGCACGGTGGTGCAGTTGGTACAGCTGCAGCCTCTCAGCGAGCAGGTCGCCCCGGTTTAAATCCCGGCTGGAGGCCTTTCTGGGTGGAGTTGGCATGTTCTCTCCGTGCATGCGTGGGTTTTCTCTGGGTACTCAGGTTTCCTCCCACTAATGTTAGGATGACTGGTAACTCTAAATTGTCCCCAGGTGTGAGTGAGAGAGAGAATGGTTGTTTGTCTCTACGTGTCCCTGTGATGGACTTGAGACCTGTCCAGGGTGTCCCTTGCCTCTCGCACAGTGATGGCTGGACTTGGACACGAGTGACCACCGTGACCCGAAAAAGGAAGAAGTGGATAAAGATAATGGATGGATGGATGGATGGATGGATGGATGGATGGATGGATGGATGGATGGATGGATAACTATAAGACAAACTAACAAAAGACCATCACTGCCATTCTTCAGCATTTTAAACTCCATGTGTCTAAAACTGGCAACAATGCACGTCATATTTAGAACGGATTGGTAAAAACTGTTAAAAATAAAAATATACATTACTGACCAGAAAAGCAAAAGGATTCACCAATATACACAAATCTCAGGTTCAAGATTCTTTATTGTCACTTGCATCACATGTGGTACATGAGATGGAACGAAACTGTGTACTCAAGTTCCCAGTTACACCCAAAAATAAACAACAACAACAAAAAAAGGAAATTAAAATATAAAAAGAAGCACAAAGATCTAAGATATACCAACCGATCAAAGCAAAACCAATTTAAGATTGAAACATTTCTTGTTTGGATTTTACCCCAGTTCAATTAGGATTATAAAAATAAAGATGATCCTCATCTTACCAGAGGTCTGTGTCACCGGCTCGTGTTTCGTCCGTCGGCTGATTTGTTGCGAGGCTGAAGGATTTCTTTGGCGTCTCACGCAACTCTCTGAGTGAATCAAAACATCCCTCGGATGAAGCCCTCTGAGTGACAGCCTGGCAGGAGGAAGATGAACCTCTGAGAAACTGATAACTAGTTCTGATTTCCCTCTGGAACCTGTGCAGCAGTTTCAGATATTTACAGCCATGATGAACTGGTACAAGTACCTGCGGCTGCCGCACTGAATCCGGGTTGGTCTGGTCCGTAGCTTCATGCAGCGTGTCGGGAAACACTTCCCTTTGCAAACCAGAAAACGGCTGCTTTCCTTCTCTGACGTTAGACTTCAAGCTGAGAACAAAGGCGGCCATTTCTCTGCGCACATCCTGAAAGTGGCACAAACGAGCAGAAGAGTCCCATCGAGTCATGTGAATTTATGAAAAGTCAAGCATTTATGAATAACTAGAAAAATGACATTTTCTGTGAAGGTGCAGTATGAACGCTGCATGCTGAATGGCTGCTGAAATTCAATGAAGGAGCTGAAACTGAGTTGTTAAAGCTAAAAGTAGCGACGCATTAGCTTGAAATTACAAAAACTAGCAAAACCCCTAAATGTAACAAAAGGCTAGCTAAAAGATGGAAGGTTAGTTAAAAGTAGCAAAACAGTGGTTAGACGTTAAGATCCAAAGGAGAGCTTGTGAGCATCATTTAGCTTAAAGTAGCAAAAAGTTAAAAGCTAAAGTAGAAAAAAAAATGAGTAGCTAAAAATTAAAAGTAACAAAAGGTAAAAGCTAGAATCTGAAAGCAGCAAAGCTAGAAGCAGCAAAAGGCAGGCTAAAAGTATGAAAAGGTTAGCTAAAAGCTCAAAGCTATCCAAGTTAAAAGTATCAAACTAGCTAAAAGTAAGGTTACCCTTAACAAAAAAGGAAGTACCCTAGCTAGCTGAGGCAACTAACTTTAATTGGACTGACTCTACAAGTTAATTAGCTGTAGACGTACATCCAAAGATTTTCTGTGCTACGTTAAATTATGTCCACTAATGCACGAGATATTTTGCTGACAAATATGAGCAAAAACATTATTCACCTTTGCCCTTCAGTAGCAGGCAATGCTTTGTTAAATTTCTTAAGAAATCTGCCGGCCCAATGATTTACCCTTTTAAAGGGTAAACATAAAAAGCACATCAAACCTCACATATCACATGATATCAGGCCTTCAAATGATGTCCAAACTCAATAAAACTGGTGAAATCGTTTGTGTTGTACAGTGATCAGTTGCCGTCGTACCTCCCACTGCTGTATGACTGAGTCAGAGAGAAGGATCAAGTCCTGGAGCGGGGGCCCGGAGCAGAACGCCCGAAAACTTTTCACGGCATCCAGGAACTCTTCAAGCAAAGCAGGCTGCAAGACTTTTAAAGCTTTCTGCACAGAAACAGACACAGCTGGACACATGTGCAGAAACAAAGCAAAACAAGTTCTCTAAAGGTGTCCTAATCTTTAAAATAAACTTTAAGATTCTTATAAAGGCTTGGACGTTGCAACAGAAATATGTTTGAGATACACATGAGAAGCTTTAAGTTGAATCTTAAAGTAAAGCTATAAATAATAGCCAATAAAGCTACTTATTTGGTAAATGCTGTAAAAAAAACATCATGTAAGACTTAACTAGAGAAACTGCATTTCCTGCAAAAATGCAGTGTGAATGTTTACTGCAGAAGAACTTGCTGAGAAACAGCTGAAATCACCTAAAAAAAAAAAACATGCTGAAATGTAGCTGAAATGTAAGAAAAAGCCAAAGTTAGACAAAAGCAGAACAAACACGGATTTGCTGAATTATGATTAAATAAGCAGAAACTAGCACAAAACGTAGGAAATTAGCAAAAAAAAAAGTAGCTGAAAAGGCAGAAAGCAAATTAAGCTACCAGGAGGAAGTGGAAGGAGCTGAAATGAGCTAAAATAAAAAAAGCGGAATTAGCTGAAATTAGCATAAAACAGCTAAATAGTAGCTGAAATTACATAAAATGCTGAAACTAGCAGAAAAGGATGAAAGGATCATAAGTTGAAAATAGCAGAAAGAAGTTAATTAGGCTGAAAGTAGCAGAAATTATGACGAAAAAAATTGAATTTATTTGAAAACAGCTGAAATTAGCAAAAAAAACAAGCTAAAAAGCTAGTTGAAAAGGTAAAACAAGCTTAAATTTGCAGAAGCAGAAAGAACACATTTTCCCCAATTAAGCTGAAAGAAGCAGAAATGAGCACAAAAAAGTGGAAATTATTTGAAAAAAAGCTGAAATTAGAAAAAAAAACAGCTGAAAAGTATCTTAAAAAGCAGAAAGAGGTTTAAATTACCAGAAGGAAGTATAAGAGCACATTTTGCTGAATTAGGCTGGAAAAAGTTGAAACGAGTGCAAAAAGAAAAGTGGAATTAGCCGAAAAAGGTAAAACTTGCAGCTTTCAGTAGCTGAAATTGCAGAAAAAGCTGAAACTTGCAGAAAAATGCTGCAGGGGCATAACAAACTGAAATTAGCAGAAAGAAGTTAGAAGCACAAAAATGTTATAATTAGCAGAAAGAATCTGAAAGGGTCACAAAACAGCTGAAACGAGCTGAAAGTAGCTGAAAAAATGTTTACATTTGCACAATGAAGCTGAAGAAAAACAAAATGTGATAGGAGCAGTAAAAGGTTGTAAACAGATCTAAAAAGGTGAAGGATGTAAAATGAGCTCAGTTCATTTTCTATCAGGAAAAAAATGGCAGAAAAGGCTAAATATTTCAAAAAGCTAAAGTTATAACACCCTTCTCCTGAACGAGCTAAACGTTTTGAGGAATAGCTTGAAAACTGCAGGAAGAGAATTGTGCCAAAACACGTACAGAAGACAAATGGATCACAGTAATATAAATGCTTCATAAACGTTCACACTAGAAAGTTTTATTTGTGTTTATCTAATAAAATACCTGTTTCTTCTTGACTTGGGATTGGGTCATCTCTTTGCCACTAAATAAGTTCGTGGCCTCCTGGACGCGTCGCTGCAGACGGAGCCTGGCCTTCTCCAGCCTGCTCCTCGTCATCCTACGGGCTTTCCAGTGAGCTTCACTGTGCACCGTGACCGGCGGCGGTGCAGAGGTAGAACACTGCGCACCGTTCCGTTGTGTTCCTGCTCGAGACTTGTGCTCGATGTCTTGACCGAGTGCTGACGAGCAACGTCTCACTCCCTCTGTGGCTGAACGTGCTGCAGGCGAGGACACGTCTGGACTCTCTGCACACTTCAGAGTTGTGAGAACGACACACATCTGAACCACGTTTCTTCTTACAAATGGTTTGTGTTACTCGTCACTGCTGTCTAAACATTACCAAACGGTCGTCTACTTTGGCTTTAACGATACTGTAAATCTGTCTCGTAAAAGCACAGCCGTCTTCTTACGCACACGTGTTTAAGACATGACACTAGATGTGCAAACATTACTGTCATTTCCTTCCTGCATCATTTCTCACGGACTCAACTCCAACAATTAGAAACACTAAACATATTGTTTAATTTACAGCTGTTTTTAAACACACACCAGATCTTAGTTTAGAAAAACAAAAATCATACTTTAAATAAAAATAGAATGTCTGGTTGGTTTTCTGGAAAAGAAACAACAAAAAGGTATATTTTCATGCAAAAATCACACACATTTGACATTCTAGCACAGGGGTTCCTAACACTGGTCCTTGAGGAACACCATCCTGCAAGTTTTAGTTGTTTCGCTGCTCCGACACACCTGATATTAATGAATGGGTGATTAACAGGCAGAACATAAGTAATTAAACCACTGAATCAGGTGTGTTGGAGCAGGGAAACAACTAAAACATGCAGGATGGTGTTCCTCAGGGATCAGGGTTGGGAACCCCTGTGCTAGCATACCTTGAGGAGCAGAGCATTTAACCCATTGTTGAAAGTCCCTTTCTGAGCCTGTCCGTGCTTCACTGTTAAAAACGAGAAAACAAATATGAATTTATTGTTGTGAAAAATGTGCTAAAAATATTAATATATGCAACACATGGATGGAGGAATCGTAGCAAAGGTTTCTAAGTTAACCAAAGAATTTCTGCAGCTCTAAAGAGCATTGTGAACCAAATATTTTACAATTTATTCTTTAGGGTAAGTCTGGGGGAAAGTCCATAATGATGATTTATCATTTTAGAAGAAGGTTTCACTTTAAAAGGTTTATTACATAAACAATGAAAACATTTTGAGTCCATTTGTGGGGTGAGGTTATGGACTAGCTACCTCTAAATCACAACTTGGCTGAACAAACATTACCAAAAAAAATAAAAATCACCATTTTAAAAAGGCATACATTTTTCAGTATGGCAAATTTAAAAAAAAAATGCAATTTTGTTATTTTGGACTGAGCCTACGTGATTTTTTATTTATTTATATATATAATCCTTTTGAATATAACAAAGTTATATAAAGGCTAAATCACCCTTTCAGTTTAAACTTTAGCACGATGAAAGAATATTTATGATAAACTATGGTTTGAGGGGAAAAATCAAAAGTTAAACGAAGACACACCTTCACTTTAATCTTGTTCATACAAAGATATCTGTTTTGATGTTAATAGCTGTTTAATTCCAAGAACTAAAGAAGCAGAAACAGTAAATCAAACAGAGATATTAAAACTGTGCGCGCTCACTGCGGCTGACTTGACCACAGTGCGCGCTCCCGCGGTATCGGATCACATTTTTTGGCAGAACACAATCAACCTTTATTTATACAGGTAAATCCCATTGAGCCTCGAGGACTCATTTACAAGAGAGACCTGATTTCAACAAAGAAAGATGACAACAATGGACAACAGCAACAACAATAAGCAGTTATAAAAACTCATACTACAGTTTTTTTTTTTTTTAACAAATAGGATGGCTAAAAGGAAAAAGGTAACAAAACCAAAAAAACTACTAGATTCCGAGACAAATGTATAAAACTAAAAACAGGAACATGTCTGCATTGGTCCCTGCCAGGAGTCCAACAGATTCTTAAAGCCACTTAGAGAGGTCAAGGTCGAGAGCTTCAAATCTTTTTGTAAGATATTCCAGGAAACAGGAGCGGAGTAGGAGAAGGCCCTTTTGCCTAGTTCAGTCCTCACTGAGGGAACACTGCAGGTAATAATGTCCTGAGAGCGCACTCCGTAGCTGCACTCACGCAGAGACATGTAGGAGGAGATGTATGAAGGCAGCAGACCAAGAAGTGATTTAAAGATGAAAATGTACCAGTGAGAGAGTCTGCGTGAGGTTAATGATGTCCAGTTAACCAGTGAATACAGGGTGCAGTGGTGGGTACGATAATCACAGCCAGTTATGAATCTTAGTGCACCATGATAGACAGCATCCAACATCTGCAGGGTTCTTGTAGGAGCGTTCATGTAAATAATATCACCAAAATCAATTGAGGGAAGGAAAGTCACAGATACAAGGCGTTTTCTAGCATTCAGAGTTAGACAGGATCTGTTTCTGAAAAAGAAACCCAGTTTAACTTTCAGTTTCTTTACCAAGTTTTCCACATGGAGCTTAAAAGAAAGATGTGAGTCGACCAAGATACCCAAATATTTATAGGAATCAACAAACTCAATGGGGACACCATTTGAGGATAAAATCGGAGGAAGAACTGCTGGGACCAACTTCCTATTTGAAAAAAGCATCCCTTTGGTTTTTTCGGCATTTAGGACAAGTTTGAGGTGAAACAAACCAGTCTGGATGTAGTTAAATGCAGATTTCAGAAGCTGGAAAGCCTTAGCAACTGTTTTAGCTCGACAATAAACAACTGTGTCATCAGCATAGAAATGTATGGATGCATTAGGGATGTTTTTACCTACATTATGTATGTAGATTGTAAAGAGGGTGGGTCCTAAGACTGAGCCTTGTGGTACACCATTGTTGACTGTTAAATAACTGGAGGAAGTACCATTATGTTGAACACATTGCCTCCGGTCTGAAAGATAGTTAGAGAACCAACCAATGGTGTGATCTGAGAAACCGATTTCAGAGAGTTTATGACACAAGATGTTCTGATCCACAGTGTCAAAAGCTTTAGACAGGTCTAAGAAAAGTGCAGCACAATAATCCTTAGCATCCAGTGCTTCAACAACGTCATTAAGAACCTTCAGTGAAGCAGTGGTTGTGCTGTGTTGTTTCCTGAAACCAGATTGATGTGGAGGTAAGATGTTAAATGAGTCCAGGTAATTTTTGATTTGAGAGTTTATCAGTTTTTCTAGAACCTTGGCTAAAATGCAGAGTTTAGAGATTGGTCGATAGTTGTTCAGTGAGGTGGGGTCACCTCCCTTCAGCAAAGGAAGAACAAAGGCTGTTTTCCAAGTGTCTGGGATGGAGTTTTGTCTTATGGAGAGATTGAAGATGTGGGTCACAGGGACTGTGATGATATGAGCAGCCAGCCTTATGAAATAAGGTGGAAGTTCATCTGGACCTGCAGATTTTTTAGGATCAAGATCTTTTAACAGTTTATTGACCTCACTGACTGAGAATGGAGAAAAAGAGAAGGTGTGATTAACTGAGGATTGACTTGTAGGAGGGATTTGATTTGTAGAAGTTTGGTTATTAAGTGAAGTGGCTGATTTTCCATTAGTAACTGTGTCAAATAAAGAACCAGAAGCAACAAAATGTTTGTTGAGACAGTTCAGGATCTCGTGCTTATTTGACACAGGAGCAGAGTTAACGAGAAGTTGTGATGGGAGGTCAGATGATTGGGGGGTGCCTGAGAGAGATTTAATTGTTTTCCAGAATCTGTTAGGGTCATTTAGATTTTTGGAGGTCTGAGATAAGAAATAGTTTCGTTTTGCTGCTTTGACAGCAGTTGTACATTTATTCCTCATCTGTCGAAAACTCAACCAATCAGTGTCTGAGTCAGATTTTCTCGCTGCGGCCCAAAGATGATCTCTCCTGTGCAGGAGGACAGCTAGCTCTGGAGTAAACCAGGGGCTGTCTCGTCCTTTTATTCTGAACTGACGAAAAGGAGCATGTAAGTTCAGGAAATAAATGAAATTATTATGGAAATAGTTCCAAGCAGAGTTCACGTCATCAGTTAACAGAATACGATGCCAGTCAAAGTGAGACAGATCCCAGAGGAATGACTGTTCACAGAAATGTTTCAGATCCCTTTTTTTAATTAATCTGGGCTTAGAAGGTGGAAGTTTACTATTTCTTAAAGCCGCTGTCACACAATGATCACTCAAAAGATCAGCGAATACACCTGTACCAGGGAATTTGTGAGGCATATTAGTTAGAAACAGGTCTAAGATGGAGGAATTGTCAGGATGGCTTTTATTTAATCTGGTGGGGGAGTCGATCAGTTGGGTTAAATTAAAAGACAAGCAACATTCCTTGAATTTGTCACAGAGGGGGGTCGACTTACACCAATCAATGTTGAGATCTCCTGCCAAAAAGATCTCTGTGAATTTTAAATTACCAAGGAATTCCTTAATGGCATTTAATGCTTCAGGTGAAGCTGTGGGGGGGCGGTAGCAGCAGACTACAGTTAAAACCTGGCCTCCATTCAAGGTGATGTTTACAGATAAAACTTCAAACTGGTTTGGAATTGTTTTGAAAGTCACAAGACTTGAAACCAGAGTGTCTCTAATGTAAATAATGACTCCACCCCCCCTTTTCTGACGATCACAGCGGTAGATGTTAAACCCATTGATTGCCACGTCATTATTCATTACAGATTTGTTGAGCCAGGACTCAGAAATAAAGATAACATCAGCCCCAGAAGAACTGACCAGGATTTTCACAGCATCAAGTTTTTTCAGAAGGCTACGAGCATTTACATGCAGAAAATGGAGCCCAGAGGCGTTTTTAAAGTCATTTGGTGTGCTGTAATTAGTGGGGGGTCCAGGATTAGGTTGAATTCCTGAGAGCAATAACAACATTATTATCAGACATTTTTTTGAGTTTTTTGTGACTGATGTGTAATTACAGCAGTTAACAGTGTGACAATTAGCCCCCATAATCGAACCATGAGAAACATTAATGAAGACGCGATCATTCAGAACCCAAAAACAGTGAAAGTTGCAGTGATGGACAGATTCAGGTGTATTAACAAGATTCAGTGACTCCAGATAATCTGAGAACTGAAAATAGTGACAGTAATATGAATGATGCAGAAAAGATTCAGACCATAAAATGTCACAGATCAAATGGGCAAACAAACCCGACGAGGTGGCCCAACTGCAGTTTGAGTCAGGCTGAGAGGGGCTCCGGCCCCCCTGTGAAGATGGATGGATGGATGGATGGATGCTCCCATGAGAAACAGAAGCTGGGTCCAGAATCAACAGGCCGAAACAGAAACAGAAAATTCGCAGCAAATAGCAGAGCGAGCTGTCAGAAAGTCCTCCTGAAGTGAAAGGCATGGTCCAAGTTCGTTTCAGGTCAACAGGGGCCAACAGCGTGATCCGGAATAAAATTAATTATTATCCAGGTGAGTTTGGATGGAGGCCTGCAGCAGCTCCGATACAAACTCCAAACTTCTCTCGAGCACCACGCAGCCCTGCTCCTCCACGCTGCTCCTCCACGCTGCTCCTCCACGCTGCTCCTCCGCTTCTCAGCACCCGACAGCACGGGGCACCCCCGGTGAAAAGCGAGACTGACCGGAGAGGCTGAGGCTGAAGTCGGCAACTGGTCCGGTCCGGTTCTGCTCCAGTTCGGCTCCGGCGCTCCAAGCACGAGAGACGAAGAGGCTGAAGATATCCCTGGCCCGGTTTTGCTCCGGTCCGGCGGCCCAGTCCGGCGGCGCGGTTCTGCTCCGGTCCGGCAGCCCAGTCCGGCGGCGCGGTTCTGCTCCGGTCCGGCAGCCCGGCGGCGCGGTTCTGCTCCGGTCCGGCAGCCCGGCGGCGCGGTTCTGCTCCGGTCCGGCGGCCCAGTCCGGCGGCGCGGTTCTGCTCCGGTCCGGCGGCGCTTCAAAGCACCGGAGCGTCTCCTCCAGGTGAACACAACGACTCCACGGAGGTGGATCGTCCTTCAGTAAAAGTAACGGGCTGCTCACTGAAGCTGAGACCGGCTCTGTAGAAGACGAATTTCCCCACAGCCACCTCGATTCGGTTCTGGTCCAATTCGAGGGTCACAGGTACACTTCCCCCACACCTATGGAAACACCACGAGGGCCAGTCCAGCTGAAAACCAGCGAAATACCACCCGGCGATATTTGTCGGAACCAGGTAGAACCACAAAGTTCCAGATAAGAGTTCGTTGAGGTCCAGGGAGAGAGAGAAAAAACACCGGACCTTCGTGCGTCGACTCCCCAGCTCGAGGGGTCACCTGGCCGGCAGGGTGCGCTCAGAGTGACCGATGGGGGGGGAGCGGCCGATCGGTCCAGGGCCAAAAATATTATTATTATTTTTTTTTTTTTTGGACTGTCCCGTCCGGCTCTCTGAGTCACTGAACACCGAATTCGGTTGGAAGGAGGACCAACTTTAGTCCGGTTCGAAAAACGGGTCAGTTTGATGATAAAAGACTGCAGAGAAGCCGGAGGGAGCTGCTGTCCATCAGCTCGCCGGAAGTGAAGTGTCTTACACCTGTCAGTAAACACGTAAACACCTGTCTTACTTTCTTCCAGTAAACACGCGCCTGTTCGTGGACACTGTTGCTCCAGCAGCTCGGTCACCGTTTTAACGCTCACCAGACTTGTCTACACTTGTCTGCTTCTCCTGGGCTCCTCCACCCTTCTCCACCTGCTAACGTAGCCTTCACCTGCGCGTGCCGCGCCTCGTCCTCCTCCCTCGGGTGGAGGAGTCGGCAGGCATCCTGCTGCGAGTTATTCGTCTCTGACCGAACCTGAAAACTCTGACACCGTCGGTACAATCTCCAGTAATTCTTGTTCAAACTTCTTCTGAGGAATATGATCTTTTTTATGAACACCGCTCTCAAACTTCCACGTTTACAGCGGTCAGCTCGAAGGACACGCCCCCAAACTAGCAATGCTAATTCTGATTGGTCAGTTCCTGGACAGCTGGGCAGTCAGCTCACGTGGGTCACTTTATAATTTAGAGCGGTCCATCTGAAGTGACAAAAATCTGGACAAGCTATAAATTATTAATTAATTAATTAGTTCAGCTCGTGTTGTGACCCCAAAACCACTGGCCCCTCAGCGCTGTGGGCCCCTGGGCTTCAGCCCGGGTAAGCCCGCGCATTAAGTGGCTCTGCGGTTTGATCAAGAGCCTGCCAAGGCAGGTAAGTTAAGGCACTCCACCCTGTTCACATGGCACGAGAAACACCAACAGCTGAAGGAGACGCCACCTTTTTTTTTTGTTAACTTTGCTCATTACAAAAAGGTAAAAGTAAATATGTTTGTAGGGGGTCACTCACTTTTAATCTGTACAAACAAGCAAACATGGGTCTGCCTGTGTCCCCCAATAGTAGAGTTTATTTATTTAATTTTTGGTATGGTTACATTTTTTTTCCCCACCTCTGTCTCTTTTATGGGTTACAAACTTGCATGGCCTTCTTGATTACTAATCTAAGCGAAAGTTCAGTAAGACTACTTTTCCAGATCCTCCAAGCCTGTTGTTTTTCAGCATAAATAGTTCCAATAACGCATCTTCCTATCTTTCTAGATTCTGATTCGCCACCAAACAACAATAGTCTGACCTTGGGGGAGCATGTGTGCATCATGCATGTCCAATGGAGCGCCTCCATCGTCTCCCTGTGCTCCACCTGAAGCCATGTTGCCTCCAACCGCAGCATAAAACGAACCCCTGGAAGAGCCGAGACGCAGCGTTCTGTTAATTGTCCATCCAGGATAAAAGTGAAAGTTTCCAAACGTTGAGCTGCCTCTAATAACGCTGTCAGGATTACACACGCCCTCGCGTTACCACAGTTACGCTCATGCAAGCACATGCATGCAAACACAAAAAGAGCTCAAAGAGGAGAACGCACTGCTGAAGAGACAGTTTGTAAAAAAAAAAACAAAAAAAAACACCAAAACTCATTTTCAACACACCTGAAGCAGAGCTGCTGTCTGCAGTGAAGAACCCCGTCGAGTGTTTGGTGAATCTCCTCAGCCGTGTCGTTTTCATCTGGTTGGTTCATGCCGTCAAACCAGACGTGGCCTTTAGGTGCTCCTTAAAGAACAAAGTGCCTCCTGCTGATCAGAACAAGCTTTGGAGTTTTAATACTCCTCAGATGAAGAGTAAGTTAATAAATAACGGGCTTTGGCAACAAAGTAAAAGTAAATCTGCCGTGGCTTTTCCTCTCGCTGCAGTTCTGTAACAACAGACCAGTAGATAAAAGAGAAACAATTTAAAGCATTAATCTGAAACACTTTCACTTTCCTGCATGAGCTCATCAAAGTGTCTCGACTTCTTTTAATTTAATTTTTGGGGGTTTATTTTGTAGTGGAGCTCTTTAAAATGTTCATTGGGAACAAGATTTCAATGGATTTAATTCAGGAGGTAAAATGGCTGATTATCCATTTCAGTCATGGAGAAAGTATTTGTTTTGAACTCTTGAGAGCTGTGCCAGAGTTTTATTTATTCCTTCACTTTGGTGAAAGCTGATGGGCTGTCTGTGTAGCTGCACAAATTAAGTTTCCATCTCAGTTATATCAAAGAGTAAAATACTTATTGCAATTCAATAAAATGTTTAATTTTATAAAGGTCAAGATTGTCTGTATTTTTATTTTAAATAGCGAGAGCTCTCAGCTACTATGCCAAAAAATTAAGTAAATATCTGTAAATTTTAGTTAGTTAGAATTATTGCCCTTTTTGTGATGTCTAAAGTCCGTTGGCCATCTTGAATAGGATTGGCTCCAAAAAGTTCAGCAGCTACAGATGAACTGAGTATTGCCTGAAAGTTTCATGAACATCCATCCAGTGGTTCATGAGCTATTTATATAGAAGAGGTAATTTAACCATTGTGTGTTGGAGCAGAAAAAACATTTAAAACGTGCAGGGTAGTGGCCTTGGTTGTGTCCAGGGTTTGGGACCATTGAAGCCTGGGGAAAAGGTCCTTGGTTTGAGTATTTATCCACCAGGTGGAGCCAACCGGCCGCTGGCCGTTAGGTGGCGCTACGCTCCGACCCCAGCTGAACCACGGCAGAGCTGACTGGCGAAGAAGAAGAAGCAGCAGCAGCAGCAGCAGCAGAAGAAGAAGAAGCGCTTCCACGACTTTGACGCTCACCAGCAGCTTGACCTTCCAACTGCAGGGCGACAAACCAAAATGTGAGTAATGTGCAGTAAAACAATTTGTCCTTTATACTGTGATCCAACAGAAAAAAAAGAAACATTTGTTCGATCAAGTCTGATTTCAAACGAAGTCATATTCCGAGGTTATCTTGAAGCTACATTTTATGCTAGTACCATTTTAGCCTAAGATGGTTAGCCAACGATGTTTATTTATTGCTTGCTGTAGTTAATCAAGTAAAATCGCAACACAAGTCCCCTTTTATAAACATACTTCAAGGTGTATTTACATACCCGACTAGCATATATTTTAAACCAGTACTGGCTTCATAACACAAAATATTAGGTTCTGAGTTAGCATTAGCATTGCATGAAACAACTGCGAGTCCTGCTGTCGAGAACTTGATGTTGGATTAAGCTTATTTTGTAACTTTACATCTGTAAAATTAGGCTGTCAGACTATTAAAGCAGCATGCTGAATTATTTATACTCCTGTGAATAGCATGATTTTTTTTTTGTATTTGTTTAGGATCCATTTTTCAAAATGTGTGATCCTATACAAGAAACAAGACCTTTAATAATCTAATTGTTTTTAACATCCTGACTGGAGACATCACTTGTCGTAGGAGGTAATGCTAATATATTTTTTTGTCACAGATGGCGGGACAAGCATTTTCAAATTGGTGGAAAATAGCGAGACCCTACGTTAAGGCATATCGAGAAGTATGGATTGGATTTGGCATTGTGTCGGTCGTCGTCTACAAAATTAAATATGGGGGTGAGTTGAAAGCTTGCTAAGGTTTTTAGTTTGACTGCACTCCGTAATAAGAACCAAATGAGCTGTGTTGCTGTTGAAATTTGAACAGAGCTCTTATGCCTTTATTCTAATCCAGGGACCTCCAGCCTTTTTTCCTTTGACGGCTACTTTCACAATTCATTCAACCTTTAATTAGACAGGTAATCCCATTGAGCCTCCAGGACTCATTTACAAGAGAGACCTGATTTCAACAAAGAATAATGACAACAGCGACAACTATAGACAGTTATAAAAAGGCATACAGATTTTTTTTTTTTTAACAAATAGAATGGCTAAAAAAAAGAACAGTAACAAAAAACAGTTAGATTACAAGGCGAATGTAGAAAACTAAAAACAGGAACATGTCTGCATTGGTCCCTGCCAGGAGTCCAACAGATACTTAAAGCCACTTAAAGAGGCTTCACATCTTTTTGTAAGATATTCCAGGAAACAGGAGCGGAGTAGGAGAAGGCCCTTTTGCCTAGTTCAGTCCTCACTGAGGGAACACTGCAGGTAATAATGTCCTGAGAGCGCACGCTGTAGCTGCACTCACGCAGAGACATGTAGGAGGAGATGAATGAAGGCAGCAGACCAAGAAGTGATTTAAAGATGAAAATGTACCAGTGAGAGAGTCTGAGTGAAGTTAATGATGTCCAGTTAACAATAAAAATGGCTAAAGAGCTGCTTATGTTTTGTAACGTTTATTTTTATAACTTGTTTTCACCCAAACCATTGGAATAATCCTATTGTCTGAAAAAAAAAAAAAACAGGTTTAGGTCACTTTACAAATCATTAGTATCCTAAATTCATAATAAAACCAGTGTTTCCCTTACCATCATCCAAGGAGGGTGCCCCACCCTGTCAACAGAACCGAGTGCCCTGCCTGCCGAGCTTTTAACACCGAGTAGCACGTCAGCAGTAGCAGATAAAACTTGTTTTTCATTTTGTGCTGGCTGGAACAGTTTCAGCCACCACAGTCAAAACCTCCTTTATAGTGCCGCCATCGGAGAAGGGATTTTTGTGCTCCACTCTGAACAAAGCCTCTGTTGCTGCGTTGCTGCTCTTTGTGGGATCGATGCAAAAGGACGTGATGGTTTTTAGCTCCTTAACCTCGTCTTTTTGACGACTGCTACCTGGAAGATAGTTCCACAAAAAGTTGCTGTGAACTTTGGTAAAGTTGTGCTCTAGTTGCATCTTTTCCCAACTAACATGGTTGCTGCGCAGATCAGACACGCTTGTTGGAAACATTTGTAGAAAAAAAATAAAATCTTGGGTTTCCCCACTTATAAAAATGGTAAATTTTTTGTCTCATTGGTGGCGGTGGCTGTCACATGATCACCGACTCACCAAGCTTGACAGAAACATAACTGTTTGACAACTACTGGTAATTATCAAATAATGTTTTAATGTAAGAATGGCTATGAATCACATTACTGTAGATATAAATTAAGTGTCTGCCCAGTGACTGATCAAATTTACTTTTTGACCTCCAGATTCTTATTTTCCCTTTGAGAAGCTAATTGAAAAAACAGTTTACGACCTGTACGTTGGAGACTCCTGTTCTAGTCTAAATCTAAATTATTCTGATTTATATATGCACCTTTGAGATAATTTACTATTTTTCTTCTTCTTCTGTCCAACATGTTTACTGTCAGTGTACGAAAATACTTCTGCTTCAAAGGGTGCTAAATAAATGTCTAATAATTTATGTTCAGTATTTTATTTGCATCAGTGGCTGTGACTAATGTCTTTCATTTTCCCTTTTCTAGGCAAGAAGGCTGTGGCGGACAGTAAGTTCTATAATGTTTTTAATTCAGTTAGACTTGAACAGTATAATTTTATGTGACAGTGAGTTGAACAATAATATTTTATTTTTCTATTTACTTTTAATCTGTTTTTTTATTGGCTCTGACCAACAATCTATGGTCTATTAAGTGAAGGTCAGGCGATTTATTTACAATTTTGGTTTACAAAAGTTTTTCGCAATCGTAAATTAAAGCTGAATGACAAATATTTAATGATTCAATTCACATTTTTCTTGGGACATTCCTTCAAGCTTTGTTCAGTAACATGCTCAAGAGTTTTTTTTTTTTTTTTTCTCAAATTATCTATGCGTACATGAATGCGTAACTCTTTAAATCTTATAATTTTGTGATACAACTTAATAATCAGTCACGGTTTAATTAATTTCTTACAAACTCTGAACTTGTCAAAAACTTTTCTCGCAACTGAAATTGGTCGTTACACTTTTAATACCTGTTCAGTTGCTGAACTGTTTAAATATTTATCACTGCACATAATAATGTCACGTTACAGAGAAATTTCTGCTCATTGTGCACGTTTTTTTATACATTTCATAGCATTTAGATAAGATGACTGACGCATACAGCAGTGAAGTTTCAGTCTTTAAAACAAAAAGCTTCAAAAGTAGCATTCTTTGAAGGAATGTCTGTCGTCTTGCCAGAGGTTTGAGATTCAGGTCAGATTATGTTAAAAACGAAAAGTTGCAGGTCAAACCCTTAAACTTAACATGTGCAGTTGTATGTAATCTTGCAATCGTTTGCATAATCTGACATGATCTGTTGGTGCTTGGAGTATGTGTTGTGAATGACTCTCAGCTACTACCACAGTACGTTACAGCTGGAACTGTACATTCACTTCATATGGGGGCCGAGATGGTGTAGAGGCAGGGCAGCCGGCTTGGGACCCAAAAGTCCCAGGTTCGATCCCCAGTCACTGCACATCACGTGGTGTCTCTGGGCAGCACACCTCATCCCCAAAATGCCCCCCCGGGCGCTTTCAATAGCTGCCCACTGCACCACCTGGTGGTGGATGGGTTAAATGCAGAGACTAATTTCGCCATTGTATGGAAACATACAGTGCTGACATTGTGATGACATTATTATTATTATTATTATGCACGCTCTATATGTGTTGACAGAAACCGGTCAAATTTGTCCAGTTGTATTTATTAACCAGTAGATGTCACTAAGTTGGATGCACAATAAGTGCGTCTGGTGGAATAGTGTGCGATGGTTGTAAAAGGATTGTTCACCTAATTATATTATTAATGAGGAGTGACTGTAGCGCAGTGGCAGGACAAATGTATTGAGACCAGGAAGTCACAGGTTCGACTCCCCTGCCATGCCCACTTGTTTGTGTCCTTGAGCAAGACACCTAATCCCTAACTGCTCCCCGGGTGTTTAAATAGCCGCGTGTGTGATTTGTTAAATGCAGAGGGCGCATGTCGTCGTGTGCATGCAGTGACGTCTTTTTATCTCTGTTGTTGCAGAGCCCGCACACTGAGCGTCCCACCATGATGACCACCTCTTCCCCTGCCACGTAAAGGCCTGAAGACCAACTTCTCATTTGGTTTTTGTTAATATTAAATAAAATGATCCGTAACATTTTGTGAACTTCAATTTGTTTTGTTTTTCGTTCGTCAGCCGTCGTGTTCTTTTTGTTTATGGGTTTCATTGTAGCCGCATGTTAGAAATGTAACGACGGACGTGACAGAAAATGACTTGTTTTTTCACATTACTAGCTTAAAGACTGAAAGTGTATTTTTCTTTTTCTATTTAACATTCTAACTGATCGGTATTAACCTGTAGGCAAACGTTGGATTGAGCAAAATGTTCAGTGTATAGATGTGACTGCTTAGTTCTAAAACCCCGGTAAATCTGTTACTGAGCTATTTATAGCCTATGAATCAGTTTGGGTTTGTTTTTTAACTAATTGAACAGGGAATAAACTTCCCAGCTGCGTATTTGATGCTGAATGGGCATTCGTGTGGTTAGTGATTCAGAGAAACAGTTTTTCCAAGGACCGAGGCTGCACTTTTACATTATTAACTTTAATTCGTTTCCTGCTCCCACTTCACAAAGATTAAATCATTAGCTTGCGTTACATAATTCTGCTGACATCGTCGCTCTGTTAAAGCACAAAGGGCTGGATTTTCACAACTGCCTCTTTAACAGAAGTCAATAACAAATGAAGAGTTGTCTGTGCACATGTTGATTCAGTGACCTGGGTGAGCGGAACACTACTGCTCCGGGTCACAGATGTGAAGCTGAGACAAGCTGAGCTGCTAATAGCGCATGGAAACGCTTAATATACGTGCACGTACAGGAGTTAATACTGCTTTTTGTTCAAGAAATTTAAGAAAGCATTGCCTGCTACTGAAAATCAATGGTGAATTATGTGTTTGCTTATGTTTGTTAGCAAAATATCTCACAAACTAGTGAACATAATTTAATGTGACTCAGAAAATCTTTAGATGTACGTCTACAACTACTTCACTTTTAGAGTCAGTCCATCCATCCATTATCTTTTACCCGCTTCTTCCATTTTGAGTCACGGGTCGCCGGTGTCCATGTCCAGCAGTCACTGTGCGAGAGGCGGGGGACACCATGGACAGGTCACTAGTCCATCACAGGGACGCATGGAGACAACCATTCACTCTCTCACTCACACCTAGGGACAATTTAGAGTTACCAATCAGCCTAACATGCATGTTTTTGGTCTGTGGGAGGAAACTGGAGAAAATCCACGGAGAGAACATGCAAACTCCACCCAGAAAGGCCCCCGGACCGGGATTTGAACCAAGGACCTGCTCGCTGAGAGGCAGCAGCTCTACCAGTTGCGCCACCGTGCAAGCAGCACAGTCCCATAGTGGACCAAACAGTTTGCTGGTTGGACTGAGCTTGTGGCTCCTCAGACTGAAGAAGTCCTTTGGATGAAGGATGAAACGTCTCAACAAAAAAAAGAAACCGTCCAGATGACCTGACTGAACCTTGTTGGACTTGGTAACGAAACAGCTGATGCAACTGGACCGTATACAAGATGTAAATATTTTCTGAAACGTGACTTGCAGAATTTCTGTCTATGTATGAAAGTATGCTGCGTCAGAACTTTATTAGTTTTAATTGTGTGCTAAACTTTGTGTTTTGGTTTTTATGAAGCCAGTTAACGCTGTCACCTCTCTGTGAGAAGGTCACATGTTCACCCCCAAGTCGGGGGCCTTTCTGCGTGGAGTTTCTCCGGGTGCTCCGGTTTCCACCCACAGACCAAAAACATGCATGTTAGGCTGATTGGTAACTCTAAATTGCCCCTAGATGAGTGAGAGAGTGAATGGTCGTTTGTCTCCGTGTCCCTGTGATGGACTGGAGACCTGTCCAGGGTGTCCCCCACTTTTTGCACAGTGACTGCTAGAGATGGACAACAGCACCCCGTGACCCAGAAAGGTGAAGATGGGGACCACTGACCATCTTGGGGTGGCAACAAAAACCAATCAGTCATTGAATATGTGAACTGTCAGAATGAGGCTGCAGACAAACAAACAATATAAAATGTTTTTGCCATAATAGATGTTTGTAAAAATATATATTACACAATTTAGCAATACAAGTAACTAAACAATCTTCCTAAATTATCTTTAGACCAAAAATTTATAAGTTATATTTTCAGATATAGTTCTAATACCTAATCTAAAATTTCCTTTGAATTTGACCTTTTTTGTTTCTCTCTGCTGGCAGCCACAGGGCCAGGAAGTCCCTTCGTATAATGCTTGGTGTCATTGTGAAGCTTGGGGATTCCATCTTTCTAAAAGTACGGCTGGAATGAATGAAATCACTCCAAACCACTAATGATCAAGTTTTCAAACTGACAACTTTGTAAATAAAATCAACTTGTTGCCAGGTCAGGTGATAAATCGCTAAATTTCAACAAACTACATACCCAGCTTGAAGTTTTTAAGATGGCAAAATTTCTCATAATAACTTTAGTCAGCGCAGGTCACAAATTTTGGACCTGTTGTCATTCAGGGAAACTAGCTTTTTATTTTTAAATTTAAAAAGTACTTTATTATTTAACTACAGATTGTTCAAAACTATATTTTTATGTTTACAATGTCCTAATCCTAAATAGCTTGGAAAAATTAAAATTCTGCACTAAACAAAAGCTTGGGGGAGGAGGCCAGCAAATATATAGAGGGGATCATTGCCCCCTGCACTCCCCATTCGAGGTGCCCCTGTATGAGATACCAAGTCATAGTTTTGACTTATGATCCAAAAAATATACTAATAATGAGATGCAAAGTTGTTATTTTGAGATAAATTATATCATTAAATACGACTTGCAGTTGTGACTTAAAGATTGTTTTTAGTCATAGTTAAAAAATGAGCTTCCGTTAATTCTTACTCCCATTTTAAATAAAATTCAAACATTGACAACATGAACAAAACCTGAATATTAATTGATATTACTTTAACTTAAATGCACCTAATGTGTCAACAATTTATATTTTCTGTCTGTGAACAAACTTCTGGGATTTGAAAAAGGGGGGAGCTGACCAAATCTGCCTTTGGTATCTTAACTTCAATAAAAGGGTAAAAACTGTGAACTTTTTTCCAACAATGAGGGGAAAACTTTTTATTTAATTTAACCTTTATTTAGTCTCAGTGAGTCACGAGGACTCGTTTTCAAAAGACCTGTTTCAGACAGAGTACAATAAACAACAATAATAAATGAAAAAAAAAAAGCAGAAAATCAAAGTACCATAGATAAAATACCAAAAACATCAAATTTGCTTAGATTTGTCTAAACTTACATAGTCTGCAGGTACAGGATTATATCGTCTCCATTAGTTAGCAAAAAACTGATTAATGCGCGCGCGCGGTAACAGGGAAAGCTAACGAGAGAGAGGGCTCGCGCTTCCCTCCCTCCCTCAGCTCGCGCGCTCAGACCGAGTCCCTCTCTTACATGCAAACATGGCGAAACTCTTAACACCGCCACTCTCACCGTCCTCCGCTTCGTCATCGTCGCCATCACGTCCACCGTCACCATCGCCGTCTCTCCGGTTCTCTCCGGTACCGTGATGACCCGGGAGGATGGAGAAGCTGTCGGCGAGCCTGTCGGAGATCGCTTGGAGCCCGTTGGCACTGCCGCTGGACGCGGTGGTCAGCAAGTTTCGCCTGCCCACTCTGATCCGTTTGGCCCACGGTAAGAAGAACCGAACCTTCCGTCCGCGGTGCTTCGGTTCAGCTCAGAGAGGACCGTTCAAAACTTTCAGCCGTTTGCCAAACTGTCACTTTTAATGGTATTCAAGACGGTCAATAACGATAAAAGTAATTTTTCTGTTAGCCAAAAAGAAAAAAAAAGGCTACGATATTGTTGATAAATTATTTGTATGACTTCTTATCACTTGTCGTTGGAAGTGAATAAAAATGTAGACATTTTTTTAACCTGAAGAATAAGTTGAGGTCTTTAAATAGGTCAAGGTAGACCGGAAAATGTTCTACTTCCGGTCGTAACTTTCAAAATAAAAGCGATACTTTTTTCACCATGTCTTGGACAATAAAGCAGCATCTGTTAGTGGGAAGAAAAGAAAAAAGAACAGCTTATTCTGTCATTTCATCCTGTTTTTAATAATGTTCATTATTTAGATTAAACCGAAATTAAATCAATTACAATTAGTTTTAAAATGAAGATCAAACTAAAACATAAAATAACATTAAAATGATAAAATGCACTGTCCAATATTAAAATTACACTTACTGGGTATTTAAAACATCTAAAAGTTATATGTCTGTATTTTAATATCTAGAAATTACATTCTGAATTGGTGTCTCTGTCATGGTTATCACAGGTTAAGACTAAACTTTAACCAATTTGTCACCTCACTTTCAATTTAAGCAATTTTAATTTAATTCAGAAGTTTTATTTTGGTTAGTAATGCGTTCCTAAACAGTGTCTGTTTAACTGAGAAAGGCTTTTTGGTTTTTATCAGTCAGCAATTATGATTTGCCACAATAAAACTTACTTTAATTAATAAAAAATGATGTAATTTCAAAGAAAAACAATAGATATTGAAAGTTATATTTGACTTTTATAATGTGATTATTGTTGGTCCTACAGTTTGAATGACTTGGACAACAACAGTATTACTCAAACTTGTATTTCGTCTCAGTTTTCAATATTTTTTTTAAGTTAAAAAAGCTCCCCTAATTTCTGAAAGCTAATGCCTGTGACACCTTTTGAAATGTAATAGACAAATATTTTATTTACCAACATATATGTGTTTTACTATCAAATTATATCTAAAATCTAAAATAAGTATATTAGCTGCTCACTGGATTTTCAGTAAATTTATGAAAGTCTAAAGTTGTGGCTTCCGTCACAGAACAGAATAGTTTGTTTTATTTTTTAATATATACAGTATTTCAGTATTGTGACTCACAAAAATTAAAAACTTAAAGGCATTAATTTTAAACTATTTAATTTAAATTCAGATACACATAAGATATCTTAATTGATGTATTAAGATATATGCACGTATATACATGTGTATATGTGTATGCTTGTTTAAACTTATATATAATTCTATATAGATTTGTGTATCTTTGTAAAAAGGTGAATGTGTATTACAGTGATGACTCAAACAAGGTCAAACAATACAAAATATATTTGTTTCTAGAAAAGTAAAAATATCTATGATCATTGATTTTATAATTGTGATATAATGTGTATAGAATAAGTAAGTAATTGATTATTGTTTAAGTCATTCTTAAACTCTTTACTGTGTAACAAAACAGAAGAACTCACTATTGGGAAGTTTTAGAGAAGGATGGGATTAAGTAAGTTTGTACTTCTTCCCACTCCGTTTTCAAATATGTTTCATAAGAGTATCCTGAACCAAATGGTGCATTATAAAGAAAAATTGACTCCGGTAGTTTTCCAGATATGTTGGTATACAATTCTGAAATACAGGTATGCGCTCAATGTAAACAAAGCAACTTTATCTACACACTTTTATCTTTAAATCTGAGTGTAAATACATACCAGTAGACATCAAAATGGTCAAACTTCTTGATCTCAAATGGCTTTTTGATAAATGTTGCCAGTGTTGACCAATCGTCAGTCTCTTCGGCCATTTCCAAAATTAAAGCAAACTTGGTAGCTGGCAGCTGTTCACAAGTGTTGCTGTGATGGAATCATTTTATTTATTCACCTGCTTCCTGGTACATTGCAGTGTTTATGTATTGTACAGTATTATTTCCCTGTGCATTTCATCTCCTTATTTGACTCTGTGTCATTGTGAAACTGAATATTATGTCTAGTGTGATAATGTGACAGATACGTTTATCGCCCTCCACATAACTGTTTTTCCCTCAGTCTGTGGGACTGTTTAAAAAACGGATGTAACATAGTAATGTAGGGACAGCTCAGAACTGATGTCAGCAGAAGGGGCACGCTAAATGATTTGACTTCCTGTGAAAACGAATGTTCTCATTTACCAGCAAATTAAAGCTTTAATGAAGTCTGCACCTGATCCTTTGTGAATAAGTTTTTCTTCGACAGTTGTTTACATTTTTTATTGATTTAAGGACACAATAAACATTAAGAGAAAAGGTTGTGATGTTTTTTTTGTTACTGGTCTTCATTACATTGCAATTGATTATACGAAGTGATTGAGCATCGTTTTGTGCTCTTATTTTGAAATCACTTTTGAGTCATTTCCTGTATTTTTCATTTAAGTCTGTCTCTTTCTGCTGCCTGACCTCAACTTCACAGCTATATATCAACTCACTGGCTTGCTTTAGGAGGTCTTGGTGTAACATTTTAGCTACATTTACTGTTTATTCATCATGTATTTTGCTGTCAGCAAGTTTCCCCTTCAATCAGCAGATTTGGTGACTTTACTTTGGGAACCGGCGATGAGCATCACAGCCAAAATTGTTTCAGTCCTGGAGGCCCCAGAAAACCACAAAGTGTTTGTTGTGCTGCTGAAGTGCTGCTTAATTCTTTTCATATGTAAATGATGTAATCTGACGATGAATGTGGTGAATACTAAAGAGCAGCAACGTGGAGGCAAACCTCCAACTTTTCCCTGTGGACAAATGCATCAACCCAAAATATGGAAAGAGATTTGTGCCCCAGAAACGCGACTTATTCACATGACTTTGATAGATAAACAGGCAAACTAACTGTCAATGTCACATGTCTTTGGCACTAATGGCTTTTCATAAATAAAGAGTCCTGCTCAAGGGTGCATGCTTTTTATATTAGAGGTTTGTTACCTGCACAGTAGTTATTACCTCGCAGGTCAGGCCTCCCTGCTGTTTGCACAGCACAGGTGATTGTTAGTTTTTCACAACAAAGCTGAGGTGACACCACGTAAACTTGCCTTTTTATCGCCCACAACCAACTAACACAAGGTAATCGATTTCCCCCGTATGTGTTGTGTGTCTGTCAGCAAAATATCTTATGAATCTATTCATTTTATTGAAACTTCAAGAAAGTAATCATGACATCCAGTGGTGGGCACAATTCTGCTAATTCACTAGCAGCTAATAGCGGAACACATTTTTTATTTAGTGAATTAGTATTTTCGCTAACTTTGGAACGCTTTAGCGACATTATCTTCTGCTAAGTTAGGTTTCCCCAATTTTAAGTCCACTAACAAAACTCACAAGCTTGTTCCTGTTTGTTGTAGACGTTTCAAAGAGTCCATTAAACAAACTGTTAGCTTAAAACGTGAGGACGTGACAAGACGTGATTGGTCGACGCCGCTTTAACTAGAAGGAGATGAAGACGTGAAACGCAGGTTGAGTGATAATCGTCTTAGCGGTTTAGCAGTTTAGCGTTAGTTTCCATTAACTTTTCTTTAAACCTGTTTAGTGGTTTAACAACAGCAAAGCTAATTATTTAGTCAGTGGAATATGGGTTAGCTAACTTTTTGGTTAGCTGTGCCCACCACTGATCACAGAATGATCTATAACTGAATAGCGTTTAGAGTCAACATGATCCAAGATGGCTGCCACAAACAACTGTTCTAAAAAACACAGAAATGTTTATAACTCGGTCAGTTTTCCAGATGTTGACTTCAAATTTGGTGCAACAGTAGCTAAGACTGATCCACAACATGTATTCGGAGTGCTAACAGCTTATGAAATGTATTGATTTCAAAATTCCTGTTAGCAAAATATCTCATGAATAACTGCAGAGATTTTAATGCAAATTTCAGCAAACATATATTTAACTCATTGTTTTAACATCTGCATCTGATTAACTTTTAGAGCTAACCCTTTTCAAGATGGAGACCACAGCTGACCCTAGAAAACATACGGACTATAATTCAATCACTTTTACAGATATTGTGCTGCTGGCTGAGAGTCATTCACAACACACACTCTGAGCATGACGTCTCACGATTTTGCATAGTGACAAGTTTAAAGTTCGACCTGAACGGTTATTTCTCAACATAAAAAAGTCTAAAACTCTTGCGTGAAAAGCAGCGGGAAATTTGCATTCCTTCAACGAATGCAAGACTTTTGATTTAAATAACCCTCAACAAATAAAATATCTGCAAAAACCGCGCTTCAATTGCGTGACTTTGTCAAGTCAGTTTTATGGGGAATTTCCTGTAACCTAATGAACGGCCCAGAGTGCATGATATTAAATTAACTACACGCCTAACTGATTGCATAGTGGCAAGAACGTTTGGCGCTCAAAAAGAAAATCCCCACAAATCATTTAGAGAAATGAAGTACGCTGAGGTGTTAAGATCTTGTACCATCGGGGGCTTACTCCATCCAAGTGCATCTATGCTGTTAGCAAAATATCTCATGAAACTGGGCATTTTTTATTGAAACTTTCAGATCTGAATCAATGGATGTACATCAAATGATGCGATTAAGCTTGTCACCTCAGCTAATCAACATAAGACAACACAAATATGACTAAAAGTCAGTCGTCCTTTCAGATATTGAGCTAAAAGTTGGTGTAGTAGCAGCAAGCACGGACACATCCCACAATACCTTGTGATATTGTATGACTTGGAACATAATACTATCACAATGGTTGTAATCATTTAGGATAAGTTTAGCTTAGTTTACACTTTGACATGAAAGGAGATAGGCAGGATGCATTCTCTCTAGGAATGTCAATTTAATTTTTTGTGATGTTTTCAATTATTTTACATTAAAATTTGTATAACGTGCTGTGCAAATCCTTTGTCTTGGCTGAGTTTAGTAGCCTTCAATCAAAAATGGTATTTGTGAAGTTTGTCATTTTATTTGTTAACAGCTAAAACAAAACTAGTGGCAAGCCTAAATTCAACCAGTGCAAAAATAAACTCATTAGAATTGTTTGAACAAAAAACATTTGAATGTTTCCACATTAAAAAGCACAACCATGTCTTGCTTTAATAACGGGAAAGTTTTAAACGTGTAACAACTGTGATTTAGTTGTACCACTGTGCCATTTGCAGAAGTCGATGCAGTTGTGCTCTTGTATAAGCTGTATGTGTGTGTGTGCGTGCGTGTGTGCATGTGTGTGTGTAATAATAGGCTGCCATCTGCATGGCAGGGTCCTGATGAGTATAGGTTAGGGGTGGTGAACCGTCACTGATGGTGGTAATTATGAACACTGAACCCTGGGTGCATGTGTGTGGGCATGTGTGGGCCTTTTTTATTTTCCATCACTGACTCCCTGAGTGAGACTGGATGTAAAACAACCCCTTGAGGCGGTGGAGTTTGTGCTCAACTTCTCCCTTTGCCTTGGTTGATGTGTTGCAGGTGAATGCGTCGAGGGTCTGTCCGAGGAGGATGTGGTGCTCCTACATTCCTGCCGTCAGTGGACCACAGTGACGGCCCACAGCTTGGAGGAGGGACACTACGTAATCGGACCCAAGATCGACATTCCACTGCAGTACCAGGGTGAGCGTTCACGCTCGCACTCGTACAGCTTGTTTAACAGTCACTGTGCTGGTTATTCTTTAACGTGCTGCACACACACAAAAACAAACTAGAAGAATCTGCTGAAGAAGTTACAAATGAGCTGTTAAGGCTATCCATCCATCCATCCATTTTCTTTACCCGTTTATTCCATTTTGGGTCACGGGGGTCGCTGGTGCCCATGTCCAGCAATCACTGTGCGAGGGGCGGGGTACACCATGGACGGGTCGCAAGTCCATCACAGGGCCACATAGAGACAAACGAGACAAACAACCATTCACTCTCTCACTCACACCTAGGGACAATTTAGAGTTACCAATCAGCCTAACATGCATGTTTTTGGTCTGTGGGAGGAAACCGGAGTACCCGGAGAAAACCCACGCATGCCCGGAGAGAACATGCAAACTCCACCCAGAAAGGCCCCCGGACCGGGATTTGAACCAGGGACCTGCTCGCTGAGAGGCAGCAGCTCTACCAGTTGCGCCACCGTGCTGCCGCTGTTAAGGCTAAAAGAAGCTAAATGCTAGCTAATACCTAAAAGTTGCAAATGTTTAAACTCCACCCAGAAACGTCCCCGGCCAGGATTTGAACCGGGGTGACCTGTTCGCTGAGAGACAACAGCTCTACCAACTGCACCACCGTGCTGCCCAATGACTAACTAAAAGGAGTAAAATACTAGCTAAAAGTTTTAAAAGGTGAATTAGAAGCTAAAAAATAACAATAGGCTAGCTAACAACTAAGAGAAACAAAAAGCTAATGAAAAGACAAATGTGCCAAAATGCTAGCTAACTGCTAAAAGTATTAAAAAACTAGCTAAAAATATTAAATGGTTAGCCAGAAGCTAAAAAGAAAACGTTAAGAAAGCTTAGCTAAAAACTTAAAGGAACTAAAGCCTAACTTAAAAAAGCAAAAGGCTAGTTCAAAGCTAAAAGTAGAAAATTGCTAACTGAATGCTAAATGTAGCAAAGGTCTATTTAAAACCTAAAATTAAGAAAAGCTTAACTAAAGGCAAAAATAAAAACAATGCTACAAAAAAAAAAAGCAGTCGTACAAGACTAGCTAACAGTAGCAAATGTCTAACTAGAAGCTAGGAAAAAAGCAGAAGGCTACTTAAAAGTTACAAAAATAGTTCAAGTTTACTGAAGTAGATAAAAAAGGTTTTTAAAGAAATTAATAAATCTGAATTATTTCTTTGGGTAAGTTTTTTGGGGATAAATCATTTGAAAAGTCAAAGTTACAAAAACAAAAGTCAAAGCATCCATCATACGAATTAGTTGAATGTGTTTATCTATACACATATATATATATATATATATATATATATATATATGGCTAAATCAGCACAAAGTATACAGAAGTATTTAGATTGCTCAAAACCTACACAAAAATAAAAGCGGGAAACCAATGAAGAGAATGCTGAATCACCACAAAGCAAAATTACTCTACAGTCAAAGTTTGGTCCAAATCATATAAACACCCATTTTTCATAAAATACGTCCTTCTAGGATTAAAATAAATAAACTTTTTTTTACCTCAAAGGTCAACACATTCTACTTGTTCTGTTTTTGTGGGGATTGCACACTTTTAGCTAAAATAAAGTCACATCAGAATGATGTATGAATTAATGTTGAAACATCATTTCAAACTAGCAAAACGTTTTAGTCATTTTATTAAGACACTTGTATTTGGCTCTTGGGTTAATAGCATGATGAATCTTAGAGGAATCTCAGACTTCAGTCACAAATTTTATCTTTTAAAAAGTTGAAGTTCAGGTAAACCAAGTTGAAAACTATAAGAAGAAACAACAAAGTCCATGCTCAATAATCCAGGTTTACATTCCAACATTTTTCAGTCAGGTCATCTGGACAGTTTCTTTTTTTTTGTGCTGAAACGTTTCGCCTTTGATCCAGAAGGCTTCATCAGTCGAGGAAACGCACAACAAAACTGATTCTTCCCCCAACAGCTTACTCCAAAGTGGAACAAACCAGTTTATTTGTTGTTTTCAACCAGTTTGACAAGACTGTCAACAAGGAAGAGGGCCGGCAATGGAGGTGGGGGCGTACCAAAGAGACCATCTTATCACAAGCAGAACTGGTTTGTTCCACTTTGGAGTAAGCTGTTGGGGGAAGAATCAGTTTTGTTGTGTGTTTCCTCGACTGATGAAGCCTTCTGGATCGAAGGCGAAACGTTTCAGCACAAAAAAAGAAACTGTTCAGATGACCTGACTGTAAAATGTTGGATTCAAATTTTATCTTTAATCTATTCTAAATAACTTTCATGGTTGTAATACTAGCTTACGGTATTGAATAAGATGATTAAACCGTTTAAAGAGTTTAAAAGGTCACAACTGAGTGCACTAAGTGATGCATTTACAGGATTTTACATCCCGACCTCAGATCCTGCACACATCAACATTTGCTGCTGCCATCTACATTCACACAAGCAACCTGCCACCACGTGACCTCTCAGGCTCCGCCTGCCCATTGACCTGCAGTCCTGCTGCTGAATGAGTGTAGTCAGTATGACCTCACCGCACAGACCCGTTGTTCCGTCTCACTACAGTAGCATTATTTGCTGTGTAACTGGATCTTAATGTCTCCTCTCCATTGCTTCCTCCACTGATGCAGTGCTGATGTCACCTCACACTGCTGCCGCCTCGCAGACTCTGATTTTGAAAAGGAAACATTTAGTGGTGGGGGATTCTGACATCATTGTCATTTTTAATATTCAGTATTTTCTGTTGGAAGCAAAACTCAGTTAGTTCTGTGATTTAAAAAAAAACCAAGCAGGACCTGAAGGATGCAGACTTTTAGTCCATAGTATGGCTTCTGTTTTAATCATGCAAATTAAAGTAAACATTTTCTTCTTATAAAGTTTGACTTGATTTCTTGAAAGATAAAACGTCTGTGACTTGTTTTGATCCAAACTCAACAGGTTTACAGTAGGGATGCACAATACTGGATTTTTGGCCGATATATTAAAATTACTTGGCCGATAACATATACTGATATTTTTAATATACTTTCCTTTGTCCCTCTCTCTTATTTAGGCTTATTTGCTACAAAAATTGTGTAACAGCTGTAAGAGCTGGTGACATTTATTCAGTAACAGCTATATGCAGCACTTTAACTTATATTAAATGAAAAGTGTTAAATGTTATTTATTAGCATTAGTTACCGGCTATTAGCTTCTCAATGACGTTGGAAATGACAGCTTGTAACTCAGATAAGGCTACGTCGGAAAAATATGAGAGGCTCAACGTAGTCCCAAAAAATCTTCGGAATCCGACATCCTCAACGAGAAAACTTCCACACCGCCGACATTTTGACTTCTTCCTCTCCGCCGTGATCAGATCAGGTAGGCGCGCGTGACGTCATCACGTTGTGCTGGCGCTGCAGGCATCTGGGTTGTCGTACAAAAACAGCGTCTTTTATATCAGTAATTTATTTTGATGGAATGTCCGATATTTAACTTTATCGCTAATATCGGCCGATACCATGCCGATAATATCGTGCATCGCTAGTTTACAGTCTTCAAGCTCGTTTCTTTGAGCTGTACTTTTGCACCCAATTTTACAGGGAATTACACTTCCACTTCATAGATGTCTTTTCTGTGGCACAGTTCAGAGATGTTTGTTTAAACAAACAAATCCTTCAACATTTATTCACATTTCTGTCGGAGCTGTTTATATTGTGCAGAAGGTGAAGGGAGACACTAGTTTTTCTAGTGTTTGCTTAAAAAGTCTCTTATTTTGGCAAAAGTTGATTAATTGTGGCATTCATCTTGAAAGTAATTGACTCTAAAAGTTATTCAGCTCATTGTTTTTAGGTCAGTTTGTAGAAAATGCTTGCAAGTTTCTGTTGAAGGAGAAGCACTGGGATGTTTTCATTTTACTTTCTATCATGATGGTAAAAAATGACGGAGGACGTTTGTGTTGTTGTACGCTGCAGTGATCTGATGGAGCATTTTAAGCCCACTTAGTTACGTATTCTTCTAATTACAGCAGGTGTTTTGGCATCACAAGTCAAAGCTTGTGATGAGCTAACGTCTGTGAGATGACTTCATACAGGAAGTCTAAATAAGTCCAGGATGAGAGCAATATAGGTTCCCCCTTGGGACGGACAGCAGGATGTCTCCCTCCTCCTCATCCTCTCTGTCTGCATGCATCATTTCCATGTCCATCAATGAGAGGCGGGGATGACATGGAGAGCACAGAAAAACTGAATAATTGTTATTGATGAAGAGATTTCATGAAAGGAAGCAAAGCTCAGAAACAGAATCCATAGCATTTAAAAACCTCAAGGTGGTTTTTATCGCCAAATGCGAAGCAATGTTAATGGTTTTATCCATTTCTGTGTGTGCGCATGTGTTTGTATGTCTGTAGGTTATCAAAATATCTCATAAACTGCAGGAACGATTTCAATGAAGTCCTCAAAAAGTAGGGTGATGAACATAAAGAGCTATAACTCGGTCAGTTTTACAGATATTGAGCTAAAATTTAGTGTGGTAGTAGCTGAGAGTCATCCTCAACATATTGTTCAAGCTCTATCCATTGCACATATTTCCTTAAAACTTGCTACAATCAACACTGTCAGCAAATTATTACACAATTATTATTAATTCATCAACCAATGAAGAACTTTTAGTGAAACTCAGAAATTAATTAGTGGATTTACATTTAACTGATTCACTTTTGCAGTAGGCCCAATTCAAGATGGCTGCCACAGCCAACTCACCCTAAAAATGCAACAACGACTATAATTAATTATAGCTACGTTACTATTATGCTACTATAATGGTTGTGGCGGCCATCTTTGTTTTTTATTATAAAAACTGCGGGCAACATGTGTTCCTTCAATACTAGTCCTTTAATTTACCAGAGTAATGGTCAGATATCTGTTTTGTTGTTTAGTAACTCTCCTTTGTCTAAACTATGCTCTAACTTATGAGTTTCCAGTTTGTTGGTTAACACTGTTTTATTTAAATGTTTAGTTTTAAACCCGTAGCTCAGCTGGAGACAGGAAGTGGTGAGCTGTGTTGAAAATGAGCTTTCTTGGAGTGTTTGGTGGATGGAAGCTCCTTATCCTTGGGCTTCTGTTTGAATTTAGAGGTGGAGGGAGGTGCTGGCATAGACGATGGGAGAGTTTAGTATTCAGCTATGCAACCCCACCCCCCACCCACCCAAATAAAAATCTCTTTGGCTCATCAGGAAGTCACCCAAACGTAACAATGTAATTAGCTTTAATAACAGAACATCAGAGGTCATTAAAATAAAGTATTAACTGACAGGAAGGAGGAAGTAAAAAGGAAAAGAGATGGTCAAAGAGAAAGAGTTGGATGTGTGAGTGTCTCCATGGCAATGTGTCTCTGCTCTGCGTGAAAATGGGGGTCCTTTATTGGTTGCTATGCCAACCATGTCTGCTGTTGATTGGCTTAGAGCTGGTGCCAGGTCAGAGGTCAGCGAGGTGTCTTTTGTATTTTTCTTGTCCAAACTGTGTCATGATGGATTTGTTGCTCTAGTGTGATTGACTGTAGCAGAAAATATAAATTTGACAACTTCTTTTGTTTTCTTTGCTTCTTTCTGGCTTTTTTTTTTTTTTGTCTTCTGCTTTTCATTTTCCACATCCATTTTTCTTTAAAATTTACTTACCGTTGTCATTCTCTTGTTTTTTTCATCCCACTCTGCAGGGAAGTTTAAGTTACTGGATGAAGATCGTGACGTCAGGGATCCGGTCCAGTATTTCTCCAGCGTGGAGGAAATTGCTGGAGTCTTCCCTGACCGGGTCTTTGTCATGGAGACAATCACTTTCAGTGTCAAGGTTTGTATACATTTCATATTCTGCTCTCTCGTTCTACTCTGCTACTTTTTTATCCTCCAACGTCACAAACACAATTATATGTGTCTACCAGGTGGTTTCAGGGGAGTTCAGTGAAGACAGCGAACCTTACAGCTTCACTCTGCAGGCTGGAGATGAGCTGTCACTCATGGGAAAGGCGGAGCTTCTCTGTGCCACACCCCCGAAGGAAAAGACAGGACTTAGCGCTCTCTTGAGACGCCTGGGAAAGACTCCTAGATGTAAGCGAATTCAAATTTAAAATACCTTGAGAAGTAGGAAGTGGATTTAAATAACCTTATATACTCCACTGAAAGGAATTAAAGATGCAGGACTCTGGCATCATTGGTTCATTTTCTCGGTTTATGACAGCGCCCCCTCCCCCAAATTGCTCCGTCAACTATATGTCTCACTGCTCTGGTAGAGTATTCTATATTCTACATTCTATACAATGGGATTAACCTGTCTAAATAAAGGTTGAATGAAAAAGTCACTTTTATCTTATGTGTGTTTTAATGCTAAGTTCTTATTCTTGTGTGTATACAAAAGTACTGATAATATAAAAGTTCTTCTTGTCTTTAAAATACAAAAAACAGTTACATTTTGACGCTAAGAAACATCATTAGTTAAAGGTATAGACATTTAGACAAAAGATGAGGTCAGACAGGAATCCTTGCAGATGACATTGTGATCTGTGGTGAGAACAGGAAACAGGTGGAAGAGAACTTGGAGAGGTGCAGGTATGCACTTAAAAGAAGAGGAATGAAAATCAGCCGTAGCAAGACAGAGTCCATTTGTGTGAATGAGGGAGGCCGGTGGAACAGTGAGGCTACAAGGAGCAGAGGTCACAAAGGTGCAGGACTTCATGTACTTGGGGTTCACTGTCCAGGAAAATGAGGAGTGGTAAAGAGGAGAAGAAGAGAGTCCAGGCAGGATGGAGTGGATGGAGAAAAGTTTCAGGAGTGATTTGACACAAAATGGTGTCAGCAAAGGTCAAAGGAAAAGTTTACAAGACAGTGGTGAGACCAGCTCTGTTGTATGGTCTGGAGACAGAGACATGGACAAAAAGACAGGAGACAGAACTGGAAGAAATGAAGATGTTGAGGTTCTCCTTAGAAGTGACATGGATGGATACGATTAGTGATGAGATCATCAGAGGTACAGCACAGGTTGAACAACTGGGAGATAAAGTTAGAGAGACCAGACTGAGATGGTTTGGACATGTCCAGAGGAGGGACAGTGGGTATACTGGTAGAAGGATGTTAGAAATGCAGCTGCCAGGAGAAAGACAAAGAGGAGATATATGGATGCAGTTAGAGAGAGGACATGGAGGTAGTTGGAGTGAGGACAGAGGATGTAGAGGACAGAGTGAGATGGAGGAGGGTGACTCGCTGTGGAGACCCCTGAAGAGGGAACAGCTGAAAGAAAATGATGAAAAGCCTAACATTCAGTAAACGAATGCCTATCACCCTCCATCTTTCATGACAGAGTTTAGACTAAGGTCATCTTATGTGGAGAAGAGTTGTAGCCGCTTTGGTCAGTGCTTAAAAATAACATTGTTCACAATGTTGTGCAATAGATTAGATTAGATTAGATTAGATTAGATTAGATTAGATTAGATTAGATTAGATTAGATTAGATTAGATTAGATAGAACTTTACTGATCACTTGGGAGGATTCCTTCAGGAAAGGTGTGTGTGTGTGTGTGTGTGTTGGGGGAGTAGCAGCACACAGCGTCGAAAAGGGACTATGTGATAGTGCCAAAATAAAATATGCATGTATATCATTTTATTTACTTTGTTATATGTTATATGTAACAGTAAATAATACTGTATAAGAAGTTAATGGAAATTTTAAGGTCCTGATGGTGGCTGCTGCACCTTCCTGTCCTCCTGTCACCCCCCTCCCCCCCAGTCAGGAATTGTAGTCTGATGGCATGGGGGACAAAGGTATTTTTCAGTGTATTAGTTGTGCATTGGGGAAGGAGCAGCCTGTCACTGAACGGGCTCCTCTGGTTGCTGATGACGGTGTGTAGAGGGTGACTGGCATCGTCCATAACGTCCAGCAGCTTCTCTTCTCTGTCACTGTCACCACAGAGTCAAGAAGAGTTCATACTCAGAGCTGGTGTAAACAATTCTCGGCTTCTACTGCCGGCACAAAGTTATTATTATTATATTATTATTATTATTATAGGCCAAATTAGCACAATGACAGTAAAACCAAAGCAGTATAGCCATTCTGTGTAGCCTGGGTCAGTTCTAATTCACTGGCAATTCTGTATTGTGTTGATTCCAACTCTTCGTTAGTTGTAGATGTGCAATAATTACTTCCTGCAAGTTTCATTAAATTCTGTCCAGTGGTTCATGACACTTTTGGATAACAATATTTTGTTAACAGTCAGCTTCTTGTGCACATATACATGGACAAAACTTTATCGTCTGCTTATTCCTGTTGGTGGCGGGCGATAATTAGATGCCAGCGACCTAAAAAGTCAGAAAGGTCAACATAATAGGACAATAAAACATCCCAATAACCTCTAAAGTTTGAGGTGTCAGTTTGATCGGTCAGTGAAAATATCTCAGAGGTCGTGTGCTTCACAGCAGAAATTGATCAACAATTCATTTGTTGATATCGATTGCAAAGAATTTGAGGATTTCATCATCTGCAGTACATATTATTAAAGGATTCAGAGAAACCAGAAATGTTTTTGTGCACAAGGGACAAGGCAAAGAATCAATTTTGAATGGTTGGAATCTATAGCCCCTCCGGCTGCACCACATTAATAAAAAATGTTTGAACTCCACCATGTATGGAAACAAAATAATGAAAATAAACTCAATCCAGAAAGAGCCTTTGCTTGACTCCAGCTCATCCAGGATGAACTGAGGTGAAGAGGAAAACAGCCTCGTAGCCCGATGACTCTAAAATTCTTTTTGGGAATCATGAACACTGCCAGGCCAAACCGTTCACACAAGACCATCCAAGAAAAGAGCTCACTTAAAAAACTGATATCAACTGGTCTCCTGAGTTTCTGAATTCTTAGTGTGGTTAAAGGAAGAGGTGATGCAACGCACTGGTAAACATGTCCACTGGTTTTACGCTCAAAATATATATTTTTTTAATATATATCTCAGTTTGACTGTTTACTGTGTTGACTTTCTACTTAAAAAAATAATAATTGTAGAAGTTAAATGTTTAGATTTTATGGAGCAAACTTATGCGTATCCCTGCTTTAAACAAGAGTCTGCAAAACTAATAAAAAACTAAATAAGTTACCAGTAAAAAATAATAATAAAGCCAGTTCCTTTTAATAATGTCATCCCACAAATGTTGTTACATATATACTCACATATATACAGTATATGTGAGTATATTTATTTATACATATATAAAATGACATTATTCTA